CTCACCATTCTGGAGGTTAGAAGTCCAAGATCAAAGCCTTGGCAGGTTTGGTTTCCCCCAAGGCCTCTCTTCCAGGCTTGCTGACTACCACCTTCTCCCTGTGTCCTCACATAGCCTTTTCTCTGTGCTCACACATCCCTTGTGTCTCTTCCTCTTTTTATAAGAACCCTAGTCATATTGGATTAGGGTCCACTCTAATGGACTCATTCCAACTTAATTACCTCTTTAAAGGCCCTATCTCTGAATACAGTCACCTTCTGAGGTACTGGGGTTAGGTTAAGACCTCAATGCATGAATTTGGGAGGGACACAGTTCAACCCTTACCACTGTGTGTGAAAACAAAAAAGCCTTTTCCATCCCTGTGGTTTTCCTTAGGCACATAAAATTCAACATGCAATGTGAACATTTTAGACAAGTCGGCTTTTCTCCCTATGGTCAAAGTTATTTAAACCAGAAATGATTCTTTAAAAGAAATTAATTCTCAAAAGTGTATATCCTTAAAAGTTCAATGTCCAACGTTGGGGGTAGGGTGGGAGGAGAAGAATCAGCAAATGGTGGGTCAGGGATCCTTCAACTTTATGGAGCCTAACTAGGGGGGGAAGCAGGACATGTTCTCAAAAAGTTCACAGCTGATTCTGATGCAAGAGATAACCCATATTTTGGGAACCCCTGCCTTAGTTATTTCCCCTGTTCTAGAGCCCTTCCTGGCCCCAGGACAAGGCTGTCTTTCCTGTCATGCTCTTGCCAAAGGAAGAACCAAATGCAGCAAGGCCAAGTCTTCAGGCTGCCTCCATCCCGCTCTGCACAGCTCTATCCACGGGGGACTCTGGGCAAAGCCAGGACCTTGGCTTAGGTGCCGGGTCAGTGCCTCCTTTGCCAGGTGCTCGAGCAGCACTCACACCAGCAGGACCCATGCTCACCTTCAAGGAAGACACATCTAGACCCATCTGTTGGTCGTTGACCCATCTGGGGGCCCACTGTGAACCATTCCGTTCATCCTCCCACAACCCCATGCCACAGGCAGGAAAGGGGGGCCCAGAGAGGGTAGTCTCTTATCCCAGGTTGTTAGGCATCACAGCAAAGATTCAGAATCATCTGTGCCTGACCCTGGTCTCATGTCCTCATAGGGATGCAAACCTTTTTCATCCATAGACCACACTAGTGTCTGATAAAGCCCAAAGAACTCCTTCTCTGACTTATTAGATGCATAAAACAAAATACAGAGGATACAAAGGAAACTAGTTATATCGAAGTATGTACAACAAGATCTAGCAACAGATTGAAACACTGCCATAATTTCAAAAGAGATCTGTGACAATTGTAATATGATGTGGAAATATCACGTGAAAAACTGTTAGTGAAAAAGTTTCAGGTACTGTGGTTTTCAGCCTACATTTATAATTGAAGGAAATGCTAAATTTTAGTTAGAGCTTAGGGGAACTAAATAGGTCCTTTTTTTTTTTTTCATTCAAGTACACAAACCCTTGAATTCTGTCCACAGACCCTGTAGGTATAAGGATCCAGGTTAGGAATGCCTGGTCCATTAGGATCTATGCTGCTGTGAGGTCCTTCGGGAAGGTCCATTTCTGGTTCTGATGTGGGCTCTTAACTCCATGAGAGGAGGAAAGCCCTGACTCTCCCAAGGCTTTGGGTGCTGCTTCACTGGTGAAGTCACTCTGCCAGCAAAGCAGGTCCTGGGACTTAAGGCTAGCGAGCCCTTCTGACATAGGGCTCATTCTTCGCCCAAACCTCAGGGTTGATGCTGGGAGCTGTTCCAATGGCCAGCACATGGCTTGCTTGTGCGATACCTGGCTCTCTCACTTCACACGTATTTAGTGAGAACCCTACTTTGGACCAGGTATGAAGGAGAGCTGGTGGAATTCACAGCCCGGTGGGAAGGCAGCCAGGAATGAGTCTCACATGGAGGACAGGAGTTGGTCTTCTTTGACCCGGGCGGTTAAGGTGGCAAGATTGGAGTCTGGGGTTTCTCAAAAGCTCCCCTCAAGGCCCCACCCTGGACAAGGCCAGATGAGCAGGAAGGAGCAGAGAGACCCCTGAAGCGAGCACCTTCGAGCACGAGCACTCGGGTGGGAGTAGTTTGCCTGGAGGATGAGGAGGAGGAGGGGAGGGGGGAAGGGGGAAGGAGGCGAGATGGGGGCTGGGATGTGGCCACAGCAGTGGAGAGGAGAGAATGGTGAGGGCGCTCAGCCGCAGATCCTCCCCCTGTGGTTGAGCTGGGGCCGCTGGGGTGGGAAGTGGAGGTGGGGGGAGGCCGAGCCTCTGTGGTCCACAGGTTTATTTATAAGTCAGTTCATGCACAGACAGAACCATAACAGCCACAGCAGAAAGCTGTATAACAACTAGATTAAAGAGGCCTGACAGGTGGCCATCCCCTGAAAGGCTCCCTATACCCCAGTCTGGCCCCTGAGATGTATTGGACAGGAGTTCAACCTGATCTTTACAACTGGGGACTGACTCATGAGAACAAGGCCCTTAAGAGGTTCCTGGTCGTTGACCAGAGAGAATCTACTCCTTCCTTGCTCGGTGTTAGGATAATGGGATTGACCGGTTAGCTGGTGAATGGGGGAGTCCGACACAGTGCATTAGAGGGTTGAGGGTGGTTTCGTCCACCAAGCACATGGATGATCGGTTCCATGGGGCACACCCCTGGGGCCCTCCAGGCGGCCTTGGCCACCCCCTTCCTTGGTAAGCTGCTTTCTCCAGCTCCTTTAATACCACTGCTTTGGCTGCAACGTCTTTCACAGTTCGCTGCACCTGAATCCAGTTTCCGATCCCCATCCTTCCTCCTGGTCCTAGGACACGGGCGACAGTGAGGCCTCGGGTGCCTTCTGCCCCAGGACAGGCTTCCTAGCACAAGCCCTCAGCACTGGTCACACCGCCCACTTGGCCCCACAGGTGATGAACTGGTGTCACGCAGAAAAGGCCAATTGAAGGAACACGTTTTAAAAAGAAGCTTTGTCTGAGCCAGTCTCTTATTGAAAAGGATTGAGCTTTAACACTAGTGAGCTCTTTCCCTGCCCAAAAATGCTGCTCGAGAAAGACCAGGGATTGAGAGGACTTGCTGTGAATGAATGACAGTCTTTCAGTGAGTTGCTCAGGTCCTCGGAGTCGCGGTGTGCCCTGGGAGATGAGCGGGCTCATGCTAGTCGGCAGCGTCGATGCAGGAGTTCGAGACGCGGTAGGCGCCTGCGCACCAATGGACCGTCAGTGAGGGACCTCTGTGGCTGCCGCGGCGTTTTTGCAGCTTCATTTCATAGTGGTCGCCTTGGAACGGAACTGTTCCAAACTGTGTTAATTCCGCCTTCCAGCAGCCTTCACAAGTCCAGCCATGTCCTTTTAGATTTTGCCTTCCCTGTCCACAGGAAGCAAGCCATCTAGCAGTACTTGAATAGAAAGTAGTGTTTCAAGGTGTAAGTTTTCCACATTAACTTCGTGGTTGAACTGAATTTTTAAAATTCTAAATAAAAAATAATTTTTTTTTTCCATTAAGAGAGATGGAGAACAAAAGGAAGATAATTGTGCTGTTTGAAATTCAGGACACATGTTCCGTGTGGTTCAGGTGGGGAGTGTCCCAGGCTGCGCACTGGCTTAAGGCTCAGATTCTACAACAGGCGGCTCAAATTTTAGTGCCCACGGGTCACCGCCGGATCTTGTTAAAGTGCCGAAACAAATTCGGTGGGTGGAGAGAGGGGCTGAGGTTTGATATTTCTAACAGCTCGGGGTGACGCCCTTGCTGCTGAGCCAGGACCACACTTGAGTAGCGAGGACTGAGTGGGAGGAGCCAGGATTACTTGGGGGTGAGAGCGCATGGCCCTGTGCTGGGACCTGGGACTCAGGGACGGGACTCGCGGGGGGCAGGGTCATGGTCATGGCTGGTGGAAGTGCTGGGAAGCTGCCTCGCTCACCCCGTAGGTTCTTCAGCCCCTGATGTTTGCCAGGCTGCCCCCTTTGGCCCGGTTTTCCCTGCACTCCCCCAGCCAGTCACAGTCTGGCTTCCCCTTGTTTCCAGAGCCGTCACACTATGCAGAAAGCTTTTCTAATGAAGTGTATTTCTAGTAAACAGCCTCAGACTCAGAGGTTTGGACCTCGTCTCTTTTTTCCCCTCTTTTAAAAAAACTGCGATCCTATAAGGAAATGCCAAGCAGCACAAAGATGGGATCCGGGCCCCTTGCCCATCTTAGCTGCCTGCCTTACCTTCTTCCTTCTTCCCCTGGAGGACTGTAAGACCTTTGAGGGCAGGACCAGAAAAATATTCGTCTTTGCATTCCTACAGTGCGTGCCCAGACCCAGGAGAATGCCAAGCATTCGCAAGAAGAAAACCAGTGGGCGCAGAGTGGGTGGGAGTAGAGAGGAAGAAAGGATGTCATGGTGGAACTGAGAAGCCAGGGGCACATCAGATTTGCCAGGATACATTTCTAGCAGTTTTTTGATCACCTTCCAGCTTACGCAGGCTCCAGGCGCAGGTCCCTCCAGGTGTCATTCCCCAGACCTGCTTTGGTGGGTAAGGGAATTGAGCAGTGTGAGGCACCAGTTTTGCTTCCAATATCTTAAGGCATTTGGGCTCAGAAACCTCCCCTGCTAGGATCCTTCCAGAAGAGTAACATCTTAGCAAATGTTGTAAAGGCGATTACACCCCTTATAAAAATTGGCCTGGGGGCACTGGGGTGGCTCAGTCGGTTAAGCGTCGGACTCTTGGTTTTGGCTCAGGGTCATGATTTCAGGGTCCTGAGATCAAGCCCTGCCATGGGCTCTGCACTCAGCAGGGAGTCTGCATAAGATTCTCTCCCTCTGCCCCCCACCCCTCTCTCTCAAAAAAACAAAGTTGGCCCATGTGAATAGCTGTCACTTTGGTGGGAAGGAGGGATGGAAGATTAGAATAGAGTATTACTAAAAAGTCTAATACATGACCAAGTTTTGTTTCTTTTTGCTTTGTTTTTACAGATTGACCAGCAAGACTGTTGAAAGTATAGCTGTCCAAGATGCCCGTCCCGCCCCCTCCAGCGCCCCCGCCCCCGCCAACATTTGCTCTGGTGAGTGGCCCCTTGCCACCTGCTGCTGGTGCATGAAGCAGGCCAGATGAAGTCGAACCTGGCGCACACGCATTTGTTCTGCATGTATTTGCATTCTAGCGTAAAAACCTTACGGCAGGTTTCCCCGCTGCAAATCAGCTGGCCTGAGACCCTGAAGGGCCGGTTGTCAGAAGTCTCAGGCAGTGCCGAGTACACGTGTGGGATGTGCGTTTGTGGGGTTTCCTCTGTCAGGTCCGTCACGGAAACATCCTGTCCCTTCCCACAACTTCTGGACAGGACAGTCCAGAAACCCAGGTCTATGTATGAAATGCAGTCATTCACATTTCCTGCAGACTCACTCTTTGTTTTTCTCTGACTTTTCCCTTCTTCCCACTCTTTTTTTCGGCAACTATCATCCACCACCCCCCATCCCCACTTCCTCCCACACTCACATCCTTCTTTCAGTCTTTCCTTGCAGGGGTGCCTGGCTCACTTGGTTAAGCTTTCAACTCTTGGTTTCGTCTCAGGTCGTGATCTCAGGGTCATGAGATCGAGCCCTGTGTAGGGCTCCATGCCCTACAGATTCCATGTGTGGAATCTGCTTAAGATTCTCTCTCCCTCTCCCTCTGCCCCTCCTACTCATTCTCTTTCTCTCTCTCAAATAAATAAATAAATCTTTAAATCTATCCTTATATTTAGATGTCTACTTTCCAAAGGCATTTCTTCACTGGTCTCTTGATAGACCTGTCCTCAGAAAATAGTGCACCCTCTTACAGGAAGCCAGCAGCCCTCTACATGGTGATACAGAAAGGCTCCCAGATGCACCCCATTGCCCCCTTACCTCCCTCGGCATGTGAAGGCTTTACTTCTGAGGAGCCTCACAGTGATGGGTCCTTTTTACTTGGGGAAACTGAGGCTCAGAGAGGAAAAGTCTCTTGCACAGGCTTCCACGGGACACATTTATATAGCCCATTTGAGGTTGGAACCTAGTTAGAAGGACAAACAATTAATTAGCTTGTTGCTACTCAGTGTGGTCCTCCAGCTGTTAGTTAGTGGCCCCAAGGAGACAGGTACAGAAATTAAGAGTAAGCATTAAGAAACACAGCAATTTGACAATAGTGTTATGTTTATTGTTTCTAAGATTGTATTTTGTGTGTCTCTTTTTTAAGTAATTCATTATTCTTTTTTAAAATATTTATTTTTAGAGAGAGTGCATGCACACACATGTGCAAGCAGGAAGGGGGAGGGACAGAGGGAGGGGTGAGAGAGAGAATCTTAAGTAGACTTCTTGCCCAGTGGGGAGCCCAACATAGGGCTCGATCTCACAACCCTAAGATCATGACCTGAGCCGAAATCAAGAGTCGGATGCTTAACTGACTGAGCCACCCTGGTGCCCCATAATTCATTTTTCTAATAATTAATTGTTATTTTACAAAAGTATCAGTCCAAGATAAATTGGAAAAAAAAAATTAAAAACTGATCCTTCACTCAGATAAGTTTGAAAAGTTCTGATCCAGAGGCGCCTGGGTGGCTCAGTCGGTTAAGCGTCTGCCTTCGGCTCAGGTCATGATCTCAGGGTCCTGGGATTGAGCCCCACATTGGGCTCCCTGCTCAGAGGGGAGTCTGTTTCTTCCTCTCCCTCTGCCCCTCACCTACTTGTGCTCTTTCTCAAGTAAATAAATAAAATCTTGAAAAAAAAAGGAAAGAAAAGTTCTGATCTGGCTAACATAGCAGGATTTATTTATCTATATTTCCCCAAAGGTGTGGTTTTATACCACTAGCTGGGTAGTATGTGTTTTAATTTTTTTTATTTTAATGTGCATGTATTGATTTTAATGTGTGTTCTAAAATTTATAACTAGCACATCAAACTACGGATTTAATAGTGAGTTCATTTAAAAGAAAATATTCACTGAAAATAGTATAAATAATATAGTGAACTGACTTAATGAAAAATACAAATAAATAATAATACAGGTAGCTGAGAAGACATACGAGTCATGCAAGTAGTACCAGAATGACTGGAATTTATCCTGTCAACTCATTTCTATCCATTATGTGACTAAAAGCAAGATCCTAGAGAAATAGGATATAGAGATGAGTAAAGGGAACTGTGGGTTGGTGGCCGTCATAGGGCACTATCTGGTGGGACAGCTTAGTTAAGGGTTCTGGACTGCCATGTGAGAGGAATTAGCACCCAAGGAGGTCAGGCATCAAAATGAATTTGGAGGTATAACAGGAGGCCAGTGAAAATTGCTGACCCCAAGGTTAAGAGAGCCGGGGTGGACACGTTGCTTAACCTCTCTGGGCCTCAGACTTTTTTCATCCTTAAAATGAAGACAGTAGGTAATTTTAAAAGTTCTCTTTCCAAGATGTCCAAGATGTGTCGTCAAGTTGAAAAAACAAGTTTCAGAGCAATAGAAGATGACTCCATTAGCAAATGGGAACCGTACACGTAAAGAGCACTTTTGAAACTGCTGAGAAGCTGCTAATATTAACAGGCTTGCTCAGGGGAGTGTTGGAGGCGGGTGGGGAAGGGGCATTTTGTTACTTTTTTTAACTGAGATATAATTGACATTTAACATTGTGGACGTTTAAGTTATACAACATGTTGATTTGCTACATTTTTATATTGCAATGTAATTACCACCTTAGCTTTAGCTAACACCTCTTTCAATCATAACTATCGTTCCTTTTTTCTGGTGAGAATATCGAAGATCTAGACTCTTAGCAACTTTGAAGTTTATAATACAGTATTGTTAACTATAATCACCATGCTGTGCTCCTCCAGGACTTACTCATCTTCTGGTTGTAAGTTTGTACCCTTTAACAGCAGCTCCCCAACGTGGGCAAGGGGCATTTTAGATCCCACATTTACCCTTCTGTCAGGTTACAGGGAAGGCTCTGGAATCACACTGCCAGGGTTTGGATCCTAGCTCCTCCTCTGACTAGCTGGGTGATGGGGGCAAATGATTTTACCTCCCTGTGCCTCTACCTCCTTGTCTCTAGAATGGAAATAATGACTCACAGGGCTGATGAGGATTAATTGAATTAATACACATAAAAGTGCTAAAAACAGTGCCTGGCCCATAGTAAACGCTATATAAATGTCAGTTGCTGTTACTATGAGCAGGTAATACTTTATCATTATTCCAGGACTCTTTCAGCTTAACACAGAGCTTCTATGTACCCTGCTTCAGGGTTTTTCTTAGCTTTTCCTTTGCCTCTAACTCTGATAATAAATCCCTGGGTGAGGTATCAAGCTAAACTGCCCCAGCTTTACTTCCTGAGCTCCTCACCTGCTCCTCTGGAATCAGATCATTTCAGAAGGGCTGGGGCCAGCCTGGAAGGCCTCTGAGGTCTGCTGGAAGGACCTCTGGGTTTGGGGAAGCCAGCTCTCCCTGGGTCCAGGCCAGACCAAGGCAGTTTCCCCATGTGTCAGACCCAGGCACATGCCTACTACTTCCGAGTCCTGTGTGCTGGGCTCTCAGTGCCCCCGCTCCCTAAAATAACCCTGAGGAAGTGAGATCCCAATTTCATAGTACAGATCTTTCCCAGGAATTCTGGGAAAATGAGAAAATACCTAAGCATTTTAAAGCAGCACCTTGGTCCACTCTGCAATCTCTGTGAGCTAAGCTTTCAAAGGAATTAAATATGAGAAACACCTTAGGCAAGGGCATGCAGGAACTTTGGGGGGTTATGGACGTGTTCTGGATCTTGATTGTGGTGGTGGTCACAGGACTGTATGTTTTTCAAAACTTGTAGAACTATACACTAAAGTAGCTGTTTGGCTATATGTAAATTACACCTCAAATCTGCCCTAAATTCAAAAGAAAAATAAAAATCTTCGGTAATATAGACAGAGGGAATTATTTTCTAAAACTTTGATGGATTTAAAACACATACAGCTGACCCTTTTGGCTAGAGACAATTTTCCCCTTGCTCCAGGTTAGCTCTGAAGGTTAGGAGAGAGAAGCTGTTCTTCAGGGCACATTCTGGGGGAGGAAGTCTTGTAGTATCCAGCAGAATCCTCTCGGACTTTAAAATTCCCTTCTCGTTTTGAGCCATCCAACCCTGGCTCTGTTGGTTACGGCCAGATTGTGGTCTGAATTTTTAGAGACTTTTATCAGGGACTGACTCTTCCTGCATTAAAAATGAATGTAATTTATTGCTGCATCTGTTCCCAAATGTCTGGGTCTTAAAAAGAATGACATCGGATCTAAAACTTGCGGAGAATTTACAACCTGTTGCCAAGAACCTCGATCACAAGCTTCCAGGACTCTAGCTGTCCCCACTGAGTGTTGTAGTAGATGATTTTAATTCAAGAGATGAATATAAGTCTGCGTGGTTTCCTTTTAGGCCAATACGGAAAAACCTACCTTGAATAAGTCAGAACAGGCTGGGAGAAATGCTCTTCTCTCTGACATCAGCAAAGGGAAGAAACTGAAGAAGACAGTCACCAATGACAGGAGTGCACCGATATTGGACAGTAAGTGAAAAAAGCTGTTTTCCCTGGAGATAAGTGATTTACGGCCTAACAATCAGCCCTACCCTTCCAAAAAGATTTTTTTTTTTTTCGGTTAACAACAGCTGCAAAGCTAGCAAAATAAGGGACTGTATCACTCATTGTAGCCACAGCTCCGGCTTGGGTTCCCTCTAATGCTGCAGGAAGCCAGGATAATAATTCTTTGTCCAAGAAACACACAGCAGCGATTCTCTGAATTATTCACAACACTTGCTGGAAGTTAACCCATTACTCTTTGCACCACAGATCAAAAGGCTGCATGAAATATGGAAAGAGCCCCAGCCTTGGAATCAAAGGATGTTGGTTCGAGTTCTGGCACATCCATCACTTACCATCTCCAAGCCTTATTGTCTTCAAATGTAAAATGGAGATAATGCCAGGTCTGCCGCCCTCACAGTTTGCTGTGAGCCACAGACGAGACAATGCAAAAGTGTTCTGTGGGCTGGGATGTGTCATTCAAGTGTAAGATAGGATTTTCAGGAGCTGGGAGAGAGAGGAAATGAGATCACAACTTTGCTTATCTGCCCATCGCAAGTCTGAGATACTTTCTAGAACAAGGCAGGGTATGTAGAAACAAACAGGTACCCACAACACAGAAATCCTATTAACATTTACAACAGAATGAAAATGTATCATGACTAGAATCTACTGGTAGTTAATAACCAGGCCTTGAAACTGTCCCCTCACATTCCTAGACCTTTCCACTGCTGGCTACATGTCGCCAGAATACATCCTACACCCAGATCCCATCTGGACTCCATAGGAAACAGACTGACTTTCCAAAATCACCAGAGGGAGCTTTGTAGATGGTGAACAGTGATGCAGGATTTTATCCAAGTCGAGGATTACAAGTGTTCAGGAAGAATTTCTAGGAAAAGTGCCTAATGGGTGGAGAAGAAAGAAGCCTCAGAGTTAGGTGAGAACATTGGTGTGGGAGGAAAATGGAAAAGAGGAAGACCAAGACAAAAGCTTTTACATGTTGCTATGCTGTGTCATGCTATGTGTTGCAGAGGAGGGTACACCAACCTCCAGAAGGAACTATGGGGTCTTTTACCCTTGACTTGACACGGTTCCCTCTTAGTCAAAATGCCCCCAAAACTGATCGGGTTATTTTATAATCCCTTAGTTCTCCTGACTGGCGTCACGAAATTCTCCCTCAGGGGAGCCCAGCACCACTTACCTCTGGGGAGCCTTGGTCCAAAGCTGTCTGAGTCGCGGTGCCAGGTATGGGGCCAGAGGCGCTCCCCAGACTGCTGGCCTCTGGGGCAGAGCTCAGTCATTCTTTCCCCCAGGAGAAGGAACCCAGAGCTCGAGAGAAGTAGATGTGAATTCCCCACTGATACTGAAGGACACGGGACAATCTGTGGCCTATTCCCGAATCCACTATTAGAAACTCATTGTATTCTTCAAGGTCCCCTTCTCCTGCCATTAAATGGAAAGAAATGTTGGTTCTTCTCCCTTCCAGCTGTTCAGTGATGTTTAGGAACATACTTTGCTTCATGGACACAAGATACAACCCAGCACATGCCCTGTTGTCCATGCACTTAATGGACACCGGTACTGTTGTCACAGGCTCTTTGCAAGCAGCAAAGGTCCACCCATAGTTTTGTACTTGTTTGCAGCAGAAGCCTCCCTGGGTTCTATGTTAAAATGTTGACCATGGTTATATATGATAAAGCTCTTAATCCAGCCTTATCCTGCAGTGTGATTCCTAAGGAAATGACCATGAACCAGTTAGCTATCATCAACTACTTTACCTTCTCTCTCTGAAAGATGCACAGATGGTCCAGGTTAAGAAAACTGATGAATGATGTCTGATAGTGCATCAATCTCTTTGAATGTTTGGTGTCACGTAAAGGTATCTTGTTTAAACGCATTATTCCAAAATGTATCATTAATTAATGAGTAATATTTGAATGTCAAGGGCATTATTAATATTATTGGTAATGGTTAAAATTAGTAAAAAAAAACTAATTTTATAGGGAAGCCATTTTGCATATACTTCTGGAAATTGTTATTGTAATTTGATTTGTTAGGTGAAGTAATCCTTGTCAGTTCACTACCAGATTATTTCTTCTATCGGCAGAGCTCCCATAGGTACCCCAGAAGGCTCCACACCTAGAAAAAATGCAGAGCTAACACAAGCTTAGGATCAAATTAATCAAGAAAAAAAGAAAACACAAATGAATAAAAGTAGGACTCAGAATGTAGATTAGTAAGAGATTCAAAGTGGATTTTTCAAAATTAGGGATACTGTGATGAATTTATATGCTGAAACATGTTAAAATCTTAAAGAAATTAATTTTTTACAAAAAGCATAAACTTACCAAAATTCACTCATGAAACTTCAATGAGCAAGACTAAAGTTGAACACTTTATCAAGCGACTTTCTCTCTAAAAAGCTTTAGAGCCAGACGATTTTATCAGTAAATTCTTCCAGATTTTAAGAAACAGTTCATGCAAATGCTATACAAATCATTCCCAAACATAGGAAGAGATGGAAAGCTATCGGATACATGTAATAAGACTCGCATGGTCCTAACCTCAGACTTTGTGCTTGTGGCACAAACACAAAAAGAAAGCTATCTATCAGCGTCCCAAGGGACGTGTGGCAATGTCTGGAGGCATTTTTAGTTGTCACAACTTGGCCAAGGAGGGGTTCCTACTGACATCTAGTGGGTAGAGTCCAGGCATGCTGTAAACATTCTACAGAGAACAAGACAGCCACCCACAAACAAAGAATTACCTGCCTGAAAGTGTCAGTAATTTCAGAGTTAAGGGCGTGTTCATTAAAAGCGAACTACGGTTGCCTGTAGCAATATTAATAATTTATATCATATGCAAGTTCAGTCATCAAAGTAATTACTTATATAAACTAGAACTAAGATAAGATATACAACTATTAGACAAGAGGAAGCAAAACCTTTATTATTTGCAGACCATATGTCTAGTAGAAAATCCAAGATAATTTTTTATAAATATTAATTTAGAAAATATTAGCAGAATGGTCTACTAGATGTCAAATGAAATTTTCTGATGCCAGTGATAACCAATTACAAAAGGGGAAAAACATCCCTTTCACAATTTCAACAAACAAAAATGTATCAAAGTAACCTTAACAAGAAGAGTAGGTGACCCATATCAGGAAAATTATAAAACTTGACTGAATGAACCAGAAGAATGGGAGAATATACCATGTTTCCATATAACCTGAGTATCATAAAAGTGTCAGTCCTCCCCACTTGATTTGTAGATTTCATGTACTGCTAGTCAAAGACTCTAGAAGGTTTTCCAGGGGTAGAACTTTAAACAATGTTTAACCTCATCAATACAACCATACATACATCATAAATTGTATGAGATACTTTTTCAAAGAGGGTTATAATCATGGCTCTCAAACAGTTATAAAACGAACATATGGCAAATATTTTATTTAAGTCATTAATGAATGAGGGAAGCAGTATAATGTTACCAGTGCAAAGGAGAGTTCAAAGTACCACACACATCGGAGCTGAAATGAATTTACAGATAGGTAAACCCGTCTGTAATCAGTTGCATGCCACTGAACACAACAATTTTACATTTCTATGGACAATTATTATCAGTTTTTCTACAACTTACAGAGTTGTAAAATATCTCTTAGACAAGGAAAATAACCCAAAAGGCTAGAGAGGATACTTAGTAATCTTTTTCTTTTCTTTTTTTTTTTTTTTTGGTCATTCTTGTCTGCCCATTTCAGACTCTTCCCCAGTTTAGAGGAAATAAATGCAAAATAAAACAAAATCTTTGTACCACCTTCAATTGCAGGGAGTTTTTAAAAATGTCTAAGCCTACTGTTGGGCTTTATGATATTAGAAAATTGAAATCAAACCCTAAGGCCATCAAATAAGTAGATGGTCAAAAGAACTACAATATATTCATGCTCTAAAACACAATGCAGCCCCTTAAACTCATGCTTTCAAAGAATATTTGATGACATGGGAAATGCTAACAATAAAGTGTTAAGTGAAAAGAGCAGGCTAAAAACTGCTTAGTAAATTTGGTCTTAATTTTGAGAAAAAAATATGTAAAATGAAAAAGTACAAGCAGGAAAAAAATACACCAAAATAGTGTATATTTCCAAGGAGTAAAAATTACAGGGTCTTTTATTTTCTTCCCTTTATTTTTACGATTCCCTTCCTTCTCACCTTTTATTTCCATCTCCCCCTCCCTTGGGACTTGCTTTCTTGGAAGATTCTTTTATTAGCCAAATCTTAGGATACAGATAGTAACTCCTACGGCAGCTAGCCAAGCAGGGAGCATGGGGCAAGACGGCATCTATTACTGATTCTCCTGCCCTGGGGCCTGTGACTGGCCTGGAGTGAAAAACAAAACCCGTCCTTCTCTGACTAGGGGGAGGGTGAATCGTTTATGGAGCACTGGGTGTTATACGCAAACAATGCATCGTGGATCACTACGTCAAAAACTAATGATGTACTGTATGGTGACTAACATAACATAATAAAATTAAATTAAATTTAAAAAAAAAAATCCTGCGTTTTCATGAAATCCCAGAAATCCGCCATGGCCCAGTTCAAGCCCGCTCCCTGGTTGACAGGCATTGTCTATTGTGTACTTGGGCTCAGGCTGTACTCTGGTTGTGTTTTCATCCACGGTGAAGAGAGTGTGTTTCCTTCCCTCTGCAGAGCCTAAAGGAGCCGGTGCCGGTGCCGGGGGCGGTGGCGGTGGCGGTGGCGGTGGAAGTTTTGGAGGGGGTGGCCCACCTGGCTTAGGAGGACTATTCCAGGCTGGGATGCCGAAGCTGAGATCCACAGCCAACAGGGATGGTGGTAAGGAGAGTTTCTTTCTCTCTTAGTAACAAGATGAGGCAGAGTTCTGTGGTTTGGAGGCTTGGCATCCCCTCTAAAGCACTGTGCCCTTTAAAACATTTTAGATCACTGGAGATGGTAACACCATTTTTAAAGAGACTCTAGCATCTTTTTTTTTCTTAAATCAAAATCAGCCAGCTCCATGGAGCTGTTAAGTATTTGCTCAGTGTCCTCGGGGTAACTTGTACTTTTTTGTACTTTTCTAAAGGGGGAGCTAGAGTGGGAAGAAAAAGAAGGAGCAAATGGAACTGGCCACCCCTGGAAAAGTCTGCCTGGTGACCTGGCAAATTCACCTTTCTTTGTGAGGTAGCCCGACCCAGCTGTCTAGTATAGTAAATACTTGTGAGCCACTTTCCAAAACACTATGGAGCGTGTCATACAGAATATAGTTACAAATCTCACTGAATCTAAAACAGTGTTTTGCATGACAGACATCTGGCATTTGAGGGCCAGTGATTCTAAATATTCTCTGCAGGGACACATGCAAATGAGTCCTATGGGATTGTCTTTGAACCTAATGGCAGAGAGAAAAATTGAACCTGGTCATGCCCAAATAAAAAACCTTACAAAGTGCATGAAGCTCAGTAAGTTTTACCATAAATCTTTCGGTATTAATGTTTGTTGTGTTAGAAGACTTTTATTTCTAATTCTATGATCGTTTAATGTCTGCTGGAAAAGTATGAAATTCTCACAGTCATGAAGATAAAGCCACTGAATCCTCAGGGTTAGCTGACTGTTTAGCGTTGGATTTTCAAAATCTAGAAAGATACTCAATAATATGAGAGATTCTATCTTGCCAGACCTGCATTTACATGTAAATTTACTTATTTAAAACCCGCCAAAAGGATTGAGGCAGCTGACAAATGCAGACATTCAGTACTTAACAATAGGTGAAAAAATTAAGGCAAAAGACAACTGGAAAGAAATTTATAAAATGAGGATAGAATTAAATTAGTGCACAAAATGGTGTACTAGATGTATATGTCAGCCTAGTATACCATCCACATAGTGAACACTGTCCGTGTGATGTACACATGGCTAATAACTGCAGCTTCAATCCGAACTTGGAAGATATAATTTATCACAAGTTGGTGACCTAGAAATATACCACACAGTCAAGGGAAGTACAGTGGTTTTCTAGTACTGCAGTTGAAATAAGAAATTCTCTCTAGAGTTCATATTGCTCCACTGTATAAATCCAACCAAATGCCTCTCATTGTGCCTTGGATAAAATCTGAAGTCTTCTGGGAGTGCCTGGGTGGCTCAGTCAGTTGAGCGTCTGCCTTTGGCTCAGGTCAGGATCCCAGGGTCCCGGGGTCGAGCCCCACAGAGTCCCGGGATCGAGCCCCACATCTGGCTCCCTTCTCAGTGGGGAGTCTGCTTTTCCCTCTCTCTCTGCTCTTCCCACTGCTCATGTTCTCTCTCTCTCACTCACTCTCTCTCTCTCAAATAAATAAATAAATAAATCTTTAAAAAAAAAAAATCTGAAGTCCTCTGGTTTACAAGGCTCCTTATGACCTGGCCCTCGCTGGCCACTCAGAGTCCACTTGCTAAGTTCTCCGTGCTCACTGTACCCCAGGCACACAGGCCTCGGTTTTTCAGCTTGAAGCTCATTCCCTCCCCAGGGCCTTTGCACCTGCTGACCCTCTGCCTATAGCACCTTCTTCCCTGTCTTTCTATGGCTGGCCT